ATCGCAGAAAGACAACAGCGAATTGTTAAAACCTTTCCACACATTACAATCTACATATATAGTAAGGTATATATAGTATGTATATCTTTCGTATTTTTCATATTCGTACGAGTATTAATCCATGTAGTAACTCACAATTGCATGCACTAAGCCTGAGAAAAAGCAAGTCGCTGCCCAAGTGACACAGTTTTTGCACCGCTTGCATGTCTTTGCATTTCTCTTGCTCCATAAAAAACTAGGAAAATACCAAATTTCACACGGAAATTTAGAGCCGAAAGAGTTTTGACGCTTAATCGAGATATGCAATCGACAGACCAACTATTTGTAAAAAATATGGGTCATTCCATTCAAGATTTACACACCTCCATGTTTTTTTGGTGTGAAATATTTTTTTGCATTCTTTATCGAAAAAACAGACACCTATATTTTACATTATAATAGTCGAAAATCTCGTAAGAAGAATTTCCAAAGTTTTGAACTCACAGAGAAATGTATTTTTTAAGCTTTGTGCAGTTAATAAACTATTTGTCGGCCATAATCAGTTAAGTAATCAAAATGTGCGTAATTACCTCGGCTTTCCATAAATTTTTTGAGTTAGATTTCAATAAATAATTGTTTGCATTAAAAAATTGCATTTTTTTAAAATAATTTTTTATTAATTAATCTAAATAGTAGTCAACTTTATGGAGTATACTGTAAAAATTTGAGAATGAAAACAAAACCTGTAGAAGCTACAAGTTTTGTTATGCCTGCGTACATAAAGTAGCACTTGTGATCAGGGTTTCCACGTGTCTGGTTTCGTTGGCGAGGGTATGAAACGGGGAAGGGGGAAGAGGGGGTGGAGGGTTATGTATGTGTGTGCTTAAACAGATGACACACTTCACAGTCCGTTTTTTTAATTGTCACCCGGACGAACAGATTAAAATCCGGACATTCCGGTCAAAAACCGGAACCGGAAAAGCCTATTTGTCTTTCATTTATTTAATATTTATTATTATTTTTATAAAATTAAAGCTCATTAACTAACAAAAACCATATAAATTCATATTTCGAGCTTTGTGCAAAAATTACAAAAATTCTGCAAAATTGCATTTAAATTTTCAACTTTTTAAACAGATTTTTTGAGTATGTAGTTTTATGGCCCATTAAATTTTAGTAGAATGAAGTGTAAGTTTTAAATTGCTAAAAAATCGCGTTGATTTTTGATAATTTTTATTCGAGTACGAGTACTACTGGTAATAGCGTCCTCTCACAACGGCAATGAAGGTCATGACTCATGATTAATCTGCCATAAGTACGGCAGTGGTGCTATGAACTTAAGGGAAGACATGCTAAGGTTTTGCTGGTGGTAACTGTTTCTCAGGTTTCAGTAGTGGTATCATCCTACGTTGTATTTTCCACATCTCAATTATTGCTAGGATGGTGAAAGACAAATTAATAAACTCTTTAAGATAATTTATGCCTCTATATGTTTTAGCATCAGTATGTTAAGTCTGCCCGAGGCTCGGGCGCCCGAGCCGACGGCTTTGGATTCTTTAGTATTTCCAATGGCCACTCGATTTTCATCTCAGGCGACAGTAATTGGTGTTGGATAGTTTGCGCAGTTATCTCGTGCACACTGCCTGTCTTTGTCCAGCTTAAATAGCTCAGGCACTTCTTTGAATCTGACATAGTACAATCAGGGAATATAATACGACACATGGCGGTCCAAAAACTACCTTGCTTGAACCGAGAGCAGAAATAGCATGCTCCAAGCACAAACTCTTCATTTCGGCAATCAGAAATTGCCTCTCGAACACCAAATTATTGATCATTTAAATCAAAATTCAAAGTATTTTATGTAATGTGTAAATTATGGCTCAAATAGCGGAAATACGAAGAAAAATGTAAATTAATTACAAACATGTAACAACGAATTTAATGGATTTTTGTGCATTTATACGATGGAGAAATAGATGTGGTAGTTGAGCCAAGTGCATGACTGACAGCATAGCTGTATTAAGACATACATATACGTATACCAACGTATGTACATGTGTGCATTACTTTTAAGGCAAGCAAAAGCAAAAGGCAAAGAGCGGAACCAAAGGCTTAAAAACAGCCACAAGCACCACTGCCGCCGACACAATAACCATAACCGCCGATCGATACGTCACATCTTAAAGTATTCATGGCCGCCATTTGTGGCAAGGAACTTGTGATTGAAATGTCTTGCTTACTTAACTTTGGCTATCGCGCGTCTATCAGAATGAGTGATCATGACGGCAAAGTTCAGAAATTTTGGGTGTGCCTCAAAATTGATTGCGGCTAGCAGTTAAAGGAAGAGAATGGATGCTGCTGTATTCGTAGGCGTAATCCAGGCAGCAGAGATAAGCACGTAAAACATCGGCTTGTAAGCAATCGGGCAGCTGAGCTTTCTTTGATTCAGCTCAACTTAGCTTCTCCCATCGTAACCTTTACTCATCGGGAGTTAATTGATATTTGAGAAATGGTAGAAAATGTGCTCGTTCATGCATTGGCGTAAATAAAATTCTGCTACAATTTAAAAGCTTTTGCTTTAAATTTTACTTTTTTTAATTTTTAGGTATGAGGCGCAAAAAAATTCCGTATGGAAGTGTTTTAGCACTGATAACAGCGGCACACAAAAAGTGGTGTGTGCTTTTAATCAGACCCACCTATTTACATGTATTGCGACTCCCTGAATCTGAATCCTAGGTCCGTTTGACTCGCACACCCTCAAAATTTCGAGTGAAATTCGGAAAATAATGGCAAAAATTCGCAATTTACTAGAAATTTTTGGGGGTGTGTGAGTCAAACGGACCTAAGATTCGGATTATTATTATTTTTTTTTTTTGATTAGCGCTTACGCAAATGTATGTTAATGTTTGGCCGAGCTTCGCCTCCGATTTGTGGCGTGCGCCTTAATGTTGTCTCAGAAAAGGGAGGGACCCACAGTTTTACGCCGATCCTGAACGGCGGAGAATCGGATTCAGCGGGTCGAAATATATGTCGGTAGGTGGGTCTGGTTAAAAGCACACGAAACTTTTTTTTTTGTGTGGCGGTGTAATTAGCTATGAGTGCATATATCTACATTTTTAAAGAAATGTATCAATATTTATATTTTCATCCATCTTATATTTATGTAGCTATCGGTATTGGTTTGAATGGATTTATCGATGTCATACTCTCTAGATGTTTTCCGGACAAAATGCACGCGTAAACATGGAATTTGTAGGATTCTATGTAGATTTTTTTTATCTAGGTTTATGTCAGGATTTAAATCTTTGATCATTGTGGCACTCGAGAGCAAGCCATACTTACCCCTTAGCCAAAGAATAACGGCCGCCTGACTACTTTCGTGACATTGGCCAAGCATCTTTGGAGAGGACAAAACAGTTAAACTGTAGAGCGATCATCTAAGATATCCCAATCTCAA